AAACCCTCCTAAAACAGGAGAGAAAAAACCACGGGCGCCAGCCAGCAAAATATCTTCACTATATCTGAGGTGAGGTTACATTGCCGCACAGCGACTTACAAGAGGTATATATATAGTGGAACCCTAAAAGGGATGATGATCCGTACCGCAGGGGCTCCGTCCCCGCACCCCCGGACATTCCCCAGGCGCACAGCCCAATGAATTTGGAAATGCAAATGAAGCTGGCCTTTATTAAGTGCAAATGAATTTAGATCACAACTCAACAAATCCGACCACTCGCTCAACCGTCGCTAGCCAAAGCCAGCAGCGGCAGAGCAAACGGAGGAAGGGCCGCTTGTGCGCGGGAATGGTGGTGGCGGACGAGCGATTGGGAGGGAGGACAGAGGGGGAAGAACAACGGCGATCGCCGGCTTATATAGCCTTCGGATGTGTGGGGACGACGGTGGCATTGAATGCCAACGGGCTGGGTGCGCCGGCTGAGGACGAACGGAGCGGCGGACAACGGCGTCCCGCGGCGACGGGGCGCGTGGCGGCCATGGATTGGGCACGGTGGGTCCCTGGTGACTGTCGCCGCTCGTCGGCGTGCGGGGAATCGCGGTGCACTGGTGTCCATGGGGCCAAGCGTGCGTGTGCGGCACGGATGGACTCGGCGTTCGTGATCTGCGTAGGCGCTCGGCTTGGGTGGATGAACGCGCCGGTGTTGGCGGTGGGCATGGAGCAGCGACAGGGCGATGGACACCGGAGCAGGTACGCGGGGGCCCGCGTGAGCAAGGTGGCGTGCGGCAGAGAGTCGAGCGGCGCCTAATTTCGACGAGATTCGCGGCGACGAGCGGTCTTGTCCTTGCATCAATGTGGTCCGGGATTCACGGCGGTGATCGCGCGATGGGAAGGGACGGCGGTGGTTCTCAAATGGTGACGAAGGAGATGGGGTCGAGTGGGGGCCGGTGACGGAGCGAACCCACGCGCGAGCAGACACGGCACCGCGTCGAACACCTGCGTGCGTTCGGTCGGGCTGTGCGTCGGTAGGGCTAGGGTGTTACAGTGTCGGCCTGGCGATTTCTCGGCGTGGTCAGGGCACGGTGGCCGGTATGTCAGCGACGGCGGCCGTGAGGTTCACGGTGGCAGGGCAGCGGCGGCCGGGTGGCATCGCTCTGCACAAGGAAGGAGGAGGGGATCAAGCCATGGGATTGGGCGACTCGGCTCGGCGGCTCGTCGATTGGCTCGGCTCTGGGAGTGGTCGGTACAGAGAGGGAGTTGGCTGGGGCTAGATCAGAGATGAGACAGAGGGAGGGCAAAGGGGAAAGAGGGGAGAGGAATCCATTCTAGACTTTAATTTATTAGGGTTCATCACTTGTTCTTAGTTTGGTTAAATTGAATCAAGGTTTTCCCCTCTATGGTATGATCTTGTTAAGAGGCTAAATCGAGAAAAAAAAGGGGGGGGGGTCTTTAGAAGGATTTTCTAATGTTTAATTATTTGCAAGATGTACTATTACCTCTTTTCTTTGAGTTCTCAATTTACTTTAAATTAAGGCAAGAATTATTTATGCTCCTCTTTATAGACTTTATATCTAGGTGATTTAATCTATTCGTTTGGTGAATTTTAGTCCAAGCACTATCATTTTATTTAGGGATTCAATTTGAAATTTACTTTCCCTGACTTGGTCTCTGTTGACCAATCGTATTCATTAATATCATTTACATGGATTACTACTTTATTTAAGTGCAAGGATAATTATTCTTGCTCCACTTTCTTCATAGTTAAATTTATGTTTAGAACATTTTAACTTGTTTTCCTCGGGTGGATTGATTTGGCTTTGGCCCTTCCATTTATTGGAGTAAATGGGTTAGGGTTTTGTTTTCCCGACTCGGTCCTTGTCGACGAGTCGTATTCATTAATATTGTTTGTGTGGGTTATTTTAATTATCTTGGATCATCTTTATTTTATAAGCTGGACCGAGGTTGCTTCGGTTTATTTTAAGGTTTAGAGAGTGATATTTAATCCTGGAGGGGATTAGCACACAATTTCAACCAAAGAATACAGCATGATGCAAAAGATTTTTAAAAGTTCAAAAAATTCCGTAATTTTCCCTTTATACGATTTTCAAGATGTTACAATTACTAGGACGGGATTCAGGGCTATCACTATCTGCCACCTGCCTCTGATAAATCCGTGGGTAATCTTTAACCTAGACAAAGGTAATATTTAACCTAGACACCACGTCTAAGTTATTAATTACTATTCTAATACTTGTACATAAACTTCCTTCTTTATCTAGAGTTCTAGTACTAGAGCACTTAGTACGAATACTAAACAATGAACCCGCAAAGATAGAAATCTATCTTACTTAGACATAGTAATTAAATAACATAAGAAAGGAACACAAATGCTTACTTTATAGAAGAAGTTCTCCGAACCCGGAGCAAAGTGTACTGACAGCTCCGGTACTCCTCCAGAATTCCTCCTAAGAAGCTACACTCGTCGAGGTAGAAGACGGATGAGCGCCAAACTTCCGGGCACTCCTCCAGAGCTTTCCCTCACTCTCTATCTTATTCTAATATACAAAAGATACGATAGAGCCTCTTGTAATTCAGCTCAAATTTGTGTGTTAGAAATGAGAGTGAGCTCCTCCTTTTATAGGCTCCAAATGATGGTTACTGCTATGGGAAATGACCAAACTACCCCGCAACCGCCATCAGGAAGTAATCAGGAGCGTACACGTGTAAAATGGTGATCAACGGCCGCAACAACGGTTCGGCCGATATGGTGGTTCGGCGAACCAAAAAATTGTCCTCCCGGCCTCTCCTTTGGCTGGTAGGTAGCTTATTGGCCCCCAACATCATGTACTTTGATTTGGCTCATATCTAAGTGGTTTTGGTTGACATATGGGCCATCCAATCCGTGTAAATGCTTCCTGAATGAGCGAAGGTGTATTTTGTCACATGACGGATGTGTTTTCTCCTCAAAATACCTGCATACACATATTTCACCAACACTAGTGGAAATGATTAGTAATAAACCCTACCACTAAGTTGGATACCACATTTTATTTCATTATATGCAAGTATTGACAGTCAAATATTACGATTTAAGGACCGTCAACATCGGGCTCAGAGCAGAGGGAGGGAGCGGCGGCGGGGCTGCTGCCATGCGGAGGGGCAGCAGCGCCGGCTGCTACCGCGCGGAAGGGAGGCAGAGGCGGTGGCGACGGCGTCGGCGTCGGCGTGGGCAACGGGGAGCGAGGCAGAGGCCGACGCACGGTGAAGGGAGGGTGGGGAGCCAGGCCTGGTGGTGGCAGCGCTCGGTGTCGGAAGGGAAGCGGAGGCGGCGATGGTGGCGCGTGTAGCAGGGAGGGAGGCGGAGGCAGCGGCGTCGGCATCGGCGCGCATAGTGGGGAGGGAGGCGGAGGCCGGCGCACGGTGAAGGTAGGGACGGGAGCCGGGCCTGGCGGCGGTGGACGGCGCCGCTGGCGCGTGGAGGAAGGAGGCGGCGGCAGAAGAAGAAGAGAGGAGAGAGGAGAAGAGAAGAAAGAAGAGAGAACTGACAAGTGGGTCCCACATGTAATAGGGTCAAATGAGTAAGGGCAAAAGTGACATTTTGTGTTTCAGTTAACACCGTTAGAAGCCCTTAACAGAATAGGGTCATACCGTATCTTCAATTTTGAAAAGAAGTGTCAAATAAGCAAAGTTGAAAAAAGAGGATCAAATTGGTAGTTAGCTTTCAAAAGAGATCAAATGCGCAATCGCCCCTATATATTTAGATCTCAATGTACTACTCTCATACTATATATTCCAACATACTATATATTCCAATTCCAAATATATAGTATACGGCACAAGTACACGAAACATTTAAACATTTTTCTAGACAAGGACCCATTTAGATTGCAGACGGATTGGCCGTGTTTGGAAAAATATGCTCATTTTCGCATATGGTCCATTTAAGGGTTCTAGGGTTTTCGATTTTTTGAAAAAAAAATTCAAAATTTTGTCTTTCTGTGCAGGCCACACAAGCACCCGCACACGAAAATCGCGTTTTTTGCAGACCCCTGGTTGCATGCGGGCCACCCACCCGCAAACAAAAACCGATTTTGACCACACGTGAAAATCTTTATCGTAGTAGTGCGGTACGGAACAATAAAAGGCCTTTATCAAATTCCTCACTAAAAGCAAAGGATAATAAATGAGCTCTAAACCAATTATAACCTTATGTGAAAGAGAGATAATTAAAAATGTGAATTGTTGACTCTTATATAAGAACTAACTCTACAGATGCTTCAAGATAAATACAATAAATTTATGGCGAGAGAAAGAAAGAGTAGAGAATAAATGGAGCTAACCTAATAGATAACCTATTATACACACATGTTAGCTTTAATATGTGTTTATAGGCTAATAGCTAGTTCTACTACTAGTATTAAACTTGCTCTAAGTTGCGTGATTTCCTATTTTTTGAGTTGATAAATAGCATTCCTTTTCCTCTCTAGAACTCAAACAAAACGGATTTTATATTAGGCTGGAAGATTCTAAAGTCATGGCCGGGTGGACATTTAGGAGATATAGCGCTAATTGTTGAGTAACTATTCTATCGCAAAGCTAGATGCGAATGCTTGCTCACTGATTGCGTTTTCTAATCACAGAACTCATGTAACAGAGGAACTGCATGCAGAGGTAAACATTTTTATTTTTCACGTGAACATTAATCTTCCCCGAAATAACAATACGCGCTCTTCGTCTTCTCTGAACCTCTGACGCGGTAGCTCGGTGTTCCCAGCCATGGCGCTTGGCGCAGGCTTTGCAAGCAAAGCAGACAAAGGCTTAGGTGTAAGGCAGGAGGAAGGAAAGTGAAACAAGATAAAAGTACAACAGAACGATCGCTACAAACGGTAGGAACCCGGCCTGGTAATTTTGCAAGCATATTACAGGAACGCCAGAACTGAGTCGCTATTTAAGATTGCAACAAAACAAAAGACGCGCTCAAATAATCTCAATGACGCCTTAGCTTAGGAGAATAAATTAAAGCATAAATTAATTAGAATAAATAGGAAGTACCAACGGAAGAGAGACTCTAAACCCTTCCCCAATAAGGTTTACACAGAAATCTTAGGAACAACATACCAACTAGAGAGCAATAAGGGAAGATAGTAGCTTAGCTCTCTTTTAAACCAGGTTTGCATGCATATTGTCTAAGACAATTCAACATAACATGAATAATTAAACAGCTAAAGTTTAGTTCTAATTAAATAGGTGGCTTAATTAAGAGGCTTCCTGGTAAGCTCTAAGGAGCTGGCAGGCTTCCCTGACATATACCCTCTGGCCTCGTGTCACAAACAAAACTCCCCGAGATCTGAAAATTGAAGAGAAATTGTGGCTTCATACAAATCTAAGAGATAGTATGAAGATCAATGAGTAGAGATAACTACCATTAAGAACTTAAGTCGTCGATCTAGTCATCCTCCGCCTCGTCATTAGAGTCCGGCGGGCAGCTGAAATGAAAACACATAAATAAATATTTGTGAGATTAAAAAAGTACTCCAATAGTAATAATGCATATATATAATTATTGTTTCGAAATCAATTACATCGACTTACATAATTGTTCAATGCAGTGGTTACGAAGCGTCTGACATCATCCAAACTAATACAGTATCCAAACTTGGTTTGTTTGATTATCGCATGATAGACAACAACACAATTAGAATCTCCATTCAGTATTGGGCTTCCAGAAAACCCATCAGAGCAATCGAACTGAGGAACCTCCATAAGCCGCATGTCATATCCTTTGACGTTCGATCTTGTCAGAACATCATAAGTTCTATTGTTATGACTTGCATTGCCCCAGACAGATGAGTTCACTCGGTGTGGCGGCCAACCATGCATGAGGACAAGCTCATCTTTCGCAGGAGGCGAAAGAGACATTGTGATAACAGGGTGATCAAATGGGCATGCAACAAACTGATCATCATCCACATCATGCAAGCGTAGCTGGTCCACTTCTGCTTCAAGAAGGAGCAAATCCTTCTGAGTATCAATTGCAATGACCGACGCAGCAGAATATGATCTCACCAATTCTGAAACTTTCATATCAGGTTGAGTAGACTTAAGATACTCCTCATGGTGAGTGCATATGATACTAAAAGAGAATGCCACATTGAGGTCTAGTATACTAATTTGATGTACCCCTTTCTGATAAACACTGTCAACCGCATGCGCAGTAGTTAGTATGTAGATAAAGTTGTCGTGTCTGTGAACGAGGAATCCCGTCTGTTGCCTTCCTCCAAACTCCGGTACGTCCGTTCTCTTATTCGTTGCAACCTTTGTCTTCTTCGGTACTTTTATCTTGTCCCTTTTGTCCTCTGGCAACAATGCTTTTGTCATTTCCACGTATTTAACCAGAGACTCATAGTTGTCCTCGTCTTCATAACGCACAACCACCTCAACACTGAAAATTGAGGGGGCAGTTGCAGTAGAAATCCAACTTTGATTCACATTGACGCTGCTGGTAAGGAGATTGGGTCGACGAGGCCCGTTGTTATTGTTCAGATCAGCCATTTGCTAGGAGAAAAGAGTAACAAACTGTGAGTTAGACAAATCAAAAGCAGTAAAGAATTACTATTAGAGCTAGCTAGTCCACAAAATTTCTTCTAGTAATGGAAAGTAATAATATAGACGTCCAAGTAAAGGTAACATTCTAAAGGGCGATCATGCATGTTTGTTTTGAAATTGCAACATTCATATAGAGATTGATGTCGCACCTTAAGTCAAATCAAAATGGGAAGATACTGGGGTGGCTTACAGGGGCTTATCAAGTAGCTAGATTTACATTAGGAGCAGCTAGGGTCTTAACTTCACCAACAGTAGCAACCAATCAGAAAAAAAAATATTTATATTGCTTGTGTTTGGGTGTAGCTAGCTAAAAAGAAAAAAAAAATCAGAACTTGTGAATTACTCACCCCCCCCACCCACCCAAAAAAACTTTATTTTTCCACTGAATCTAGATAGACTGTTGGGATTCGTGTACAGAAGTTATTTTGTTTTTTTACAGAGGTATCAACTCATCAAGTACCACTAGCCAAATACCCGTGCGTTGCAACGGATTATTTAAATGGCTAAAAATATTAAATCCTTGTTGGAAAAATATTAGTTTCTACTTGATTAAAACAAGATATATTTTGTTTTATGTACAGATTAATGGCTACATCCGTGTTAATGAAATGCCTTTTTATATGGTTACAAAATACGTACATGTCGATAAATTGAGTCTCTCATTTTAAATTATAATAAAAACCTAAAAGTTTGTGATTTTTCGTTAATTGGATCAAGATGACAAGAAGCAAATCGATAGAAAAAGTACGCACGTACACAATTATTCCACACATATGGTTATAAAATACGTACATGTCGATAAATTGAGTCTCTCATTTTAAATTACAATAAAAACTAAAAGTTTGTGATTTTTCGTTAATTGGGTCAAGATGACAGGAAGCAAATCGATAGAAAAAGTACGCACGTACACAATTATTCCACACATATGGTTATAAAATATGTACATATCGATAAATTGAGTCTCATTTTAAATTACAATAAAAACCTAAAAGTTTGTGATTTTTCGTTAATTGGGTCAAGATGACAGGAAGCAAATCGATAGAAAAGGTACGCACGTACACAATTATTCCACACAAATACTAGAACTATTCCAGACAAGTACAAAAGGTTGACAGATGATCACTCACATAATAGTGTTCACATGTTAGTGGTGGACGTGGTTGGCAGACTCATCACCGTACCACCACCACTATCTTTACAAGTAGTATAGAAACGCCAATAAAAAATTGCATATTGAAGACGCCAATATAGAGATATTAAGTCACTATCGAGCAAATTTTAGAACAAAAATTTTAAATACTACTCCCTACGTTTTATATTATAAGTCATTTGACATTTTTCATAGTTAAATTTCTTTAAGTTTAATCAAGTTTGTAGAAAAATATATTAATATTTTCAACACAAGACAAACATATTATAAAAATATATTTAATGTTAGATTTAATGTAACTAATTTAATATTTTAAATGTTGCTAAATTTTTCTATAAATAACTTGGTCAAACTTTACTTAGAAAAAGTCAAACGACTTATAATATAATGGGAGTACTTCGGTACTCTCTCCTTCCTTTTATATATGACATTGGTAATTGAAAAAAAATGAACTAATCATCGTTAAAAAAAAGAGTACATATTATAGACGCCACCCATTTTGTTTCATAAGTAGTGATGATATATATATTCATATCTAGAAGGCAAAACTCAAGACAATTCAACTAGGTGATATACCAAATGGATTGAGAACTGTCTCTATCACTCTAGAAACATACCAGGTTATTAATTAGTAACCGCTTAAAAATGAATCGGATGGCCTAATCAGCCAAAGAATAAGCCAAATTTTATTTTTTCAAACTTAATTTTCAGATTGATTTGAAATATTTTCAATGCAGTTTCTTTTTCAGCATTGGCTTTTAAGTCACCAAAAACACATATATAAAAGTTTTACCTACAAATTTATTTTTATTCCCTAATAAGCCAAAACGGCTTATTAGGGGATAAGCCAAACGACGAGGCCCTAGCGTTCTTAATCTTCTATCTTTATTGTACAGTTATAAGTTCAAATTAAACAAACTTAATGGAATCAATTAGTCGTCTCTGTAATTAGTTATCCAGGCATTTGAGAATTGAGACGTACGACAAATGAGAATGCATGACTGGTAACTTTTTTTGAAGGAGATTGACTGGGATTAGATTTTGATCAGAAAAGCGCATGCGAAGGTGTCGATCGATCTGATCAATGACTAATATGTTCAGAAGCTAGAGTGATATGATCATTCGTTGCTAGGTTTAATTAGCCAATTTGCAAAACGCTTTAATTTTGGGATCGCCGACTGGTTTACGTGCCAGATGCATGCATGTTCGATATAATAGGACACAGTACGTGTGTTTCTATGTGAGATAAAGAGAAAATTAGGCTGTTATGTTTTGAAAACTTGGGCATGAACTGCTATGATATGATGCTTGATTGGTAGTGCATCACTAATGCTAGCTTCTGTTTCGGAGCCTACAGCTAGCTGTGATCAGCAGGCCGGATTTAATTGTACAGGCGTGCTTTTCAAACTTAAAGGTGTGATTTTTGTAAAAAAAAAAATCTTGTGCTCGATTTCTTCTATCATATATATAGAACACGCCTAATCAAAAATTGCAGCGTGGTGTGCCGCTAGCTCTGCTCCTTCAAAATGATTAAAATGGGGAGCGAGGAACTATAGCGTTATTACTTTTGCCTCAACACATATATATACTACCTCTATTTCAAAAAAATAGTATAAATATGTAAAATGATAAGTTTAAATTATAATTTATTTAATGATAAAGCAAGTCATAAAAATGATATTTATTTAAATCATTTTGAATAAAACGAATTGACAAACATTGTGTAAAAAGTCAATGTCATCATGCATTTTGAAATGGAGTACATATGAGTACGGGGATATGCAATAGTCACACACACAAAAAAAAAATGAAGTATGTCTGTTCTTTCTTACTTAACTACCAAAACTAGCTAGGATTCAACCGTTTAAAACAAGAAGAAAAAGCTAGGGTTTACAAGCTAAACGGGAAAAAGTTAAAAAGAAAGAAAAGGAACAACGCATCCTAGACTAGACGTTTAAGGTACGTAGGGTTTATGCAAATTAAACGAGAAAAAGAAAGAAAAATAGCGCATCGATCTTAATTATTTGAGAAAAGAAAGGGTGCCTTAGCAAGTTTGAGCTAGGGTTTATATATATATATGATTAAGCTAAACATGCACGAAAAGAAAAGGAAGACAAACAACGTATGCATCGATCTGAAAATAAAAGAAAGCGCATCGATCTTTGCCGGAGGAAATTGGGCTTACCGATCGATCGATGAAGAGCGAGCAAGCTAGCCAAGAACAACGACCAGAGAGACTCTCTCTCTCTCTCTCTCTCTCTTTCTACGAGAAAGCAAGAAGAGGAGCAGCTGAGTTGAAGAGAAACTTTTGCGCCTACCTCTCTACCTCCTTTATCACACTGTTCAGTAGAACGGTAGAAGCAAAGTAAATACTCGTACCACCCACGACCGTTTGCGTGGGACCTAGCTAGCTGCTGCAAGCAATAACAAATACTTCCTCCGTTTCATATTATAAAACTTTATAGTATTGTTCACATTCATATACTCCCTCCATTTCAAAATGTTTGACACCGTTAACTTTTTAGTACGTGTTTGACCATTCATCTTATTCAAAAAATTTAAGTAATTATTTATTCTTTTCATATCATTTGATTCATTGTTAAATATACTTTTATATACATATATAGTTTTATATATTTCACAATTATTTTTAATAAGACAAACGGTCAAAGATGTGCTAAACAGTCAACGGTGTCAAACATTTTGAAACGGAGGGAGTATATGTTAATAAATTTAAATATATATGTGTGTCAAGATTTATTAACACATATATAAATGTGGATAATACTAGAAAGTTTTATAACCTAAAATAGAGGCACCAGTATAAGGGAAAATTGAAACCATGCCATTATAATTTTGCAAAATTTGATATATGCCATCCTGACCCACATGTCATTGACTCATATGGGTCTTACATGTCATTGAGATACCGATGGCATATCTCAAACTTTACAAAATTATAATGGCATGGTTCTAATTTACCCCTAGTATAATGACCATCGAAGTTTTACCTGCAGAAGCATCTGCTTGACTCTTGAGAGGCAGCAGGCCAGCAGCAGAAGAAAGGTAATACTACTAAACGGTCATTGATGGATAACATTGAATCACAAGCAATGCCTGCAGCTTCATTGAATACAAGGCGTGTTGCCCGGCCGGATCACAACATGCATGAATCGAAAAGGTTCGAATTTAATTGACGGCATAAATTTATTGACTCCTGTCGTTTAGCAAATCCCATGATTAGATGCACTGCTCCTTCGTTCGTCCTAATATATATAAGAGAAACATAGGACCTGTTCGTTTCCTCTAAAATAAAATTTGAGGTTAAACTTTTGGATTAAAATGGCATGCTTTTTAAACTGCTAAACGGTAAATTTCATGCGAAATCTTTCTATATAAAAGTTGTTCTAAAATATCATATTAATCCATTTTTCAAGTTTGTAATAATTAAAACTCAATTAATCACATGTTATTATCACCTTGTTTTGCGTGAAACACTTAACATTCATCTTCATCTTCAGAATATTCAAACACCACCATAGTACACATGTAAGCATTCACAACACACGCACACTCACACTTATGAACACCTTCGAAAGACTGAACCAACATATTTTTAAATTGACAAAGTCACCACAGGTGTCTCGCTATCGAGGGGTGCGTCGCCTACCACTTAACTAGCCGTAAATGCGAGCACACATATCAGATCTAAGATTTGAACCCAATTAGACTGGTTCCACCACAAGAGATCTAATCATTTGAGTTACGATCACTTCATGTATGCTATCATGGTCCATACTGGAATTTTTACAATTTGATCCTTTTAAAAAAACTTATTTCACAAATAGACCACTAGAAAAATTTATCCCAGAAATGGTCCTTTCGGGGGCGCCAGAGTGGCTGGCGGGGCGGCGCTGAGGTGGCAGAGGGAGTGCACCATAGTGGTTGAACCCCCCCCCCCCGGCAAGCCATTTTTTCCTCTTCTCTCATCTCTAGTGTAGAGGAGAGAGATGTGCAACTTTTTAAATTTTTTTCACACTTAGGAGCACATAAGAACAAACCGTACAAAAAAAACTCAAATAGACAAAATATGTGACTTGTAGAATTTTCCAAAGCTCTACCGAAAAGCTCCCTCGAGGCGTTCTCTTCCTGCTATTTGTTGTTTTGATTTTTCCTATAGTCCCAAAAAAGTAGATTAGATTTTGAACACTCTTAGTCTTTTTTTTTACAACTTTTACATCCTATAAAGAAAAGGTTAGAGTTTGTGTTTTTTTTCTGTTATATTTGGGTGTCATTTCTTAAAATAGGCGTAACTTTCTCATACGGACTCAGAATCAGGTAAATAATATATCCACGGACATCTACAGAAAAAGTTACATCCGATTCTCCCCTACTTTGCCAGGTTCGGCGAAATGAAAACCTCCAAGTTCTACTTGGAAGATTGTGTTTTCGAGGCGATAAGCTTTTCGGTAGAGCTTTGAAAAATTCTACAGGCCACATATTTCGTCCATTTGAGTTTATTTTTTCTATGGTTAGTTCTTGTGTGCTCCTAAGCGTGAAAAAAATTCAAAAAAAGTTGCACATCTTTCTCTTCTACACTAGAGGAAGAGGAAAAATTGCCGCGGGAGGGGGGGGGGGGTTGGTGCCAGCCACTCTGGTGCACTCTCCCTGCCACCTCAACGCCGCCCTGGCACGTTGGTAGGAGGACGGCGCCAGAGTGGCTGGCGCCGTCGTCACTCTGACGCCCTAAAAAGGACCATTTTCGAGATAAATTTTTTCAGAAGTTTATTTACGAAATAAGTTTTTCAAAAGAACCAAATTGTGAAAAATTTAGGTGCTCCATACTACTGATAAGGGGTACTGGTGTAGGTGAAATCTAACCATTTATTTGTTTGAGTATTATGTAAAATGGCATATAATATATAAATGTGAAAAATTACCCACCATCACATTGAGGTAAGTTCTAAAAGAAAAAAAGACATTGAGGTAATTAACTCAATATATACTAGCCATTTGGTCATGCGTTGCACGACTTTAGAAGCCCGTATAAAAAGCCCTGCATATATATACACTATAATTATGATAATTACAGTGTCTACTTTAAATTTTTTTTTTTGCAAAATCATAGGACATGATAAAAAAAAGTTAAATCTAGATGAACCTATATTTCCAACGAAAAGTTCAGACGTTATATTCAAGATCAGCCCTCTTGGTTTTGGTTCCACAACAATGCTCATTCTAATGCTATTACAGGATTAAAGAGAAGATGTTGCCTCCACATGTAACAGCAGGATAAAAAAAGGGCACAGTGGAGGGAATCAACAATGCTCTATCTTCCTTCAATCAAGTTGAAAATGTTACAAACTAAAATTAACGGCAAAAATAATAGTTTAATTAGTAAAAAAGGGTCACTATTTGGTTAAGTCCTCTAGATTTGGACCAAGAAGATCAATGACCATGATATTTATAGTCCCCATCCACTCCAAACAACTTCTGGTAGGCAGGACATCAATCTCTTTGTTCACCTTTTGGAAATGGCATGCAGGAATTGAGCATAAGGAATTCTCAAGTCAGCAGCTAAATGCTAACTTGCTATGGCCTGAGACTTTTATTTGCTAATTGGCTGGTAAAGAATTAAATCAATTCTGTATGGTGTATGCAGACGTGTCTTGCAGTATTAAAATGTGTTTTTCCCCTACTGTTCATACCGATTGTTAAGCATTTGGATAGTACTAATTTTCTATATCTAGCTGAAGACCGATATCCAAACCTGACCAGAACATTAATCCATTACCCTGAAAGAATATCTACAGCGCGCCATCACAAACAAATCAGGTACTCAAATTCCTTTTAACTCGTACAGTATGCAAGAATATAATACCTTGGTGAGTTTCTACGCTTGCAGGAATTGGCAAGCACAGCATCTGGGCGATTTACGCACCTCTTCGAGTAGTAAAAATGCCTAAATTTAACGGATCATCATTATTCATTAGTACGTGTTAGAGCAGGACATGGAGGGTGTAGCCATGACAGCGCCTTGTCACCGGTGCGGGGCCTGGAGGGCAGCGGCGCAGCGCCACCAATCGGAGCCGTCAGGAGCATTGGGAGCGTACGGGCGGGGAGAAGAAAGCCTTTGGTGGCGGCGGGGGGAGCTGAAGCGTAGGGTGTTCGAATGCCGGTGGAATGAGCCGGACATGGCGCGGCACCTGGACTGGGAGGCGCGGCACCTGCTCCGGCGGCAAATCAGGCGATGGAAAGGAGGGAGCCGGCGACGATGCGGAAGCGGGAGGAGAGAGGAGTCGGTGGCACGTCGACGCGAGGAACCGAACGTCGATACGGCGTTTTTTTCCTGTCTCTATCGTTCGCTTCTTCCCGACATATCCGGAATGCTCCGGGACCATTTTTGACTCTTTTACTGAGCTTTTCTTCACACGATGGATTGTACGGCAGTGATTTAAGTTGTGTTGCATCCAACAGTCACTTTTAATCTGATGACGTGGCGCAATATGATCGATGGTGAAAAATTTTAGTACTTGTTTTCACTACTTTAGATATACTGTAGTTTCTATTTCTATTTCAGTTGGTATATGCTTCCAAGCGTTAGTTTGTGATGTCGCTTCTTTAATTCACGAACACGAGATCATTCTCTTGTTTCTTTAATTTTCCGTCGCTCTGGTCCTGGCGCCCGTTCCATTGATATTTATCCTGGCGCCGTCCGTCATGTCCCCCGTTTGGCCGCAGCGCGCTGCCTGCCGTCGCACTGACGCCACCCACATTCACGCCGTGCTACCGACACGTACTCTCATCCCTCGCCTCACATCCATCATGTCCCACACCTGCGTAAGGGATTTTGATATTTTAGTAGATCATTCGTCTTATTTAAAAAATTTTAAAATTATTATTTATTTTATTATCTAAAATATTTTAAGCATAACTTTTTAATTTTTATATATATATAATTTTTTTTAATACGATGAGTGATCAAACAGTGAAAACAAAATATCAAAATTCTTTATATTAAATGACATAGGGAGAATCACTCTTCTATTATTCGATTTGTTCGATCAATTTTTAGAACTGATCGATGCATTTTTAGTCCCTGTCATTTGAGTGGTAAATTTAGAACTGCCGGGATCAGCGATTTTGTTTTTCCGTTCGGCGTCCAGACATTAAGAAATCCAGCGGTGTGTAGGCCGGTGCAGGCCTGTGGCTGTGGCTGTGGCTGTGGCTGTGGCGCTGTGTGGGTGTGGCAGGTATTTAGGATTTAGGTCTTGTACTTGTGTTGTTTTTTCCCTCAATTTTCAGATTTAACTCTTAACTC